CCATGTACGACAGTACCTCCTCCAGCTGGAGGCCAAGGTGGGGATCTCCAAGCACATCCACTGACTCCAGGAAGCTGGCATCTTGGTCCCTTGCCAATCTGCCTGGAATACACCCCTGCTTCCTGTGAGGAAGCCTGGCACCCCAGACTTCAGAACGGTACAGGATTTGCAGGAGGTAAACAGCCAGGTGGAGACCGTCCACCCAATGGTACCAAATCCCTATACTCTGTTGAGTCTCATCCCTCCTGCTCATGTGTGGTACTTGGTATTAGACCTCAAAGATGCATTTTTCAGCCTGCCCCTGGCACCAGTGAGCCAGCCCCTCTTTGCCTTCGAATGGATTGACCCAGACACCAGGACTACTGGACACCTGACATGGACCTGGTTGCCACAAGGGTTCAAGAACTCCCCCACTCTGTTTGGAGAAGCTCTCAGCAAAGATCTAAGAGAGGTAAGGAGAGTTTTTCCCCAGGCAATTATTCTTCAGTATGTAGATGACCTCCTAGTGGCAACTTCGACCGATGAAGAGTGTCTTATGGCCACTGAGGGCCTCCTGGAAGTCCTCCAAGACCTGGGATATCAGGTGTCTTGGAAGAAAGCTCAGCTCTGCCAGACCAAGGTAACCTACTTGGGCTATATTCTTGAGAAAGGAAAGAGGAGGCTGGCAGAACCGAGGGTATCAGCAATTCTCCAGATTCCGGACCCGAGCTCAAAGAAACAGGTGTGGGAATTCTTAGGGGCAGTTGGGTATTGCAGAATTTGGATTCCTGGCTTCGCTGAGATTGCCAAACCCCTGCACGAAGCCACTGTGGGGGAAAATACGCCCCTCAAATGGACTGAGGCTTGCCAGCAGGCATTTCAATTGCTCAAGACTGTGCTTGCATCGGCACCAGCCCTGGCACTGCCAGACTTAAACAAGCCCTTCACTCTGTATGTAGTGGAGAGAAATGGGGTAGCCAAGGGAGTGATTACTCAGCTTTTGGGGCCGTGGAAGTGGCCCATGGCATACCTCTTGAAGAAGATCGACCCAGTGGCCTGAGGGTGGCCTACTTGTCTGAGGACGGTAGCAGCAGCAGCAGCTGTTTTAACCCGAGAGGCTGACAAATTGACCTTCAGACAGGATTTGACTTTGATCACTCCCCGTGCCATTAAGCCCTTGTTGAATAGCTCACCTAGCAAATGGCTGTCTAATGCCAGACTGTTACAATATCAAGGACTCTTGTTAGAACAGCCACGCATTAAGTTTGCCACAACCACTAGCCTCAATCTGGCTACTCTACTCCCGGAATCCGACGAACAGATGCCCATCCATGATTGCCTCAAGACCCTTGAAAACTCGAGGGGAGGGTGTCCAGATTTAACGGATCAGGCCCTCCCCTGTGCAGAGACAATGCTCTACACTGATGGGTGCAGTTTCGTGTGTGACGGAGTGCAGTATGCTGGGGCGGCAGTGGTCAACCAGGACCAACAGGTGGAATGGGAACAGGGGCTACCCCAAGGGACATCGGCACAGAGGGCTGAGCTGATTGCTTTGACTAAGGCTCTGGAACTGGGGAAAGGCAAAAGGATAAATATTTTCACTGACAGCTGTTATGCTTTTACCACCGCCCATGTGCACGGGGAGATTTATCAGAACCGAGGGCTGCTGACCTCTGAAGGAAAGGAAATTAAAAACAAGACTGAGATATTGGCATTGCTACAAGCCATCTGGTTGCCCTGAGAGGTTGCCATCATCCATTGCCGCGGGCACCAAAAGGGGTCTAGCCCCGAGGTGACTGGTAATAATGCTGCTGATCAGGCAGCAAAACAAGCTGCCCAAAAATCAGTGGGGAAGCAAATGGTTCTGCTTCCCACACCAGTACTCCCAAAAAAACCTGAATACACAGATAAAAAAGTAACAGAAATAAACAGGAAACACTGGACTCAAGGTAAACATGGGTGGTGGATGACTAATGATGAAAAGGTGGTGCTCCCAGCCGCTGTAGCAGACACGTTGCTGGGGGAACTACATGAGTCCACCCACCTCGGCGAGAAAAGGTTGATGGCTGCCCTGTGACCCCATTTCGTCAGCAAGGGATTGGCCCAAAAGGCCCAGGACATGGTGAGACGGTGCCCCACCTGCCTCAAGGTAAATGCAAATCGGGTGACCGGACCCCCCGGGGTCTGGCACAGAGAATTAACTCCAGGAGAACATTGGGAGTTGGACTTTACTGAAATGAAGCCTGGCATGTATGGGTATAAATACTTACTAGTTTTTGTGGACACCTTTTCAGGATGGATAGAAGCATACCCCACTAAGAGAGAGACACCTGAAGTAACGGTCAAAAAGCTCTTGACAGAAACAGTTCCTCGTTTTGGCTTGCCCCTAGCCCTGGGGTCTGACAATGGCCCAGCCTTCATCAGCTAAAATATCTAAATTGATTGGTAAAGCTCTAGGGATAAAATGCAATTTACATTGTGCTTATAGGCCTCAGAGTTCAGGACAAGTAGAGAGAGCGAATCAAACTTTAAAGGAGGCCCTGACTAAATTATGCCTGGAGACTGAACTAGGTTGGGTAGAGCTTCTCCCCTTTGCTCTTCTCCACACTAGGTGCACTCCTAAGCCGCCCCTCAATCTGTCACCCTTCCAGATCATTTATGGGCGATCTCCCCCAATCGTCCCCCTGGTTGATTTGGAGTTGGGAGAAAAGCTTTCTCAGCTCCAGCTCCTTAAGTCTTTAAAGGCCGTCCATCAGCTTCAGTCAGAATTACACGATACATTGAGAAAGACCATGCCTGACCCCAACAAGAAACCTCTACAACCCTTGCCTTATAAGCTGGGAGATTTGGTTTTTATTCACAGGTTTGACTCCAAGACCCTGGAACCCCATTGGAAGGGACCGTTTCTCCTTGTCCTGGTGACTCCCTCGGTGGTGAAGGTACCTGGGCACTCTGTCTGGATCCACCGCAGCCATGTGAAGGGGGCACCCCCTGAGGAAGCGACGTCGACATGGCGGATCGACCGGAACAAAGAGGACCCCCTCAAGATAAGATTAATCAAGGACTGAGATGGGCAATGTGGGGATTTATAGGAACCTTGGTCCTGTCGGCTCAGGTACAAGATGTTCAATGGCTGGCGCCTACCAGCCAAGCCCCCCCAAATTGGACATCGTCTCTCAAAAATTCACTTACCGGAGCCCTGGTTGCCATTGTCACAACAGACAGACAGCCCGTCTTTCAGGTTGACTTGTGTGATATAGGACTGGTTACTGAGACCGTGGGAGTGTCTGACATTGCAGGACCATGTTCAGATGCCCCTTCAACGCCTAGGGGAAAATGGGGATGGTCTACACTTAACAGAGAAAGGGGTCTCCAGACCATAGATATTTATACATGTCCTAGAGGTAAAGACCCAAAATGTAATGGGGGCCAGGATACCACTGTTACTATCGGGGCTGCGAGTCCATAGCCCCATGAAAAAATAATGACCAGTATTTAGCCTTGGAGCGGCAAACAGCTAGTAGCTCATGCTCCCTGGGACATTGTAACCCCATTCGGTTAACGCTAAAACAATGACAAAAGCCATACAAAAAATGGGAGGAAGGTAAATCTTGGACGGTGACACTGAATACAAATGGACAGGACCCAGTGACAGACATCATCATTCAGCGAAGTCCAGTAGTGACACCGCCCAAACCAGTGGAAAACCTTTATAAGATAGTGAGCCCCCAAAAGACAGTGGCCAACCCCACAGGCGCTGAGGAAATTCCACTTCCTCGCCGCCGAAAAAGAAAACACACACTCACCCCGCCGGCTGCCCGGGTAACGCCCTACCCAACAAGGTGCCCGTGACTGCCCCAGAGTCGCCAATCCAGCCATACTTAAAAATGCCGGAGGCTGTGTTTATGGTGTTAAATAGATCGAACAAGAACATTACTAACGAATGTTGGATGTGTCTAAACCCAAAGCCCCCATATCATATAGGAATAACAATCAATAAAACTTACACTGGAACCAGCCAAGATGCGCGTGATTAAAAACAGACGAGGGACGTTGACTTCCCGTGCGTTCAGGCGGCTGCGTCGGGCTGTAGGAGAAGA